AATATCCGGCCGCCTGCATTCTATGCTGCTCAGCTTTCAAAATGTACATGCAAATAAAATGATCCTTCTAATAGCTGTTAGAAACTTCTCAGGTGCTTATTTGGTGAGTCTGGCTTGCATATACAAGATTGTATATCAGATTTGGGGTCAGAAAGAATTTTTCCCCCTCAGATCAGCTTGGGAAGAACCATTGGTGTTTTTGTATCTTCCTTTGTAGCATGGGGTATTGTCCACGCCTAAGATCATCTAAGCACATTTTAACATAATTTTCTGCTATTGTAGTGGGCAGTCATTAAAGTGCCCTAGTCTGCCTGTTTTTTTACCTGTGGCACTCTAGAGTTTTTATAACAAGCTTTGCAGTTATTGTGTGCAAAAGGAATTGAATAATGCCCTTGAGGACCCTTTGCACAAATATTTGGTAAATGCAGGTGACTGGACTAGATGTCCTAGGAGGTCCCTTCCAGTCCTATGCTCCTTTGAGAAAGAGATGTTTTTCCTGCTATTGTCATTGTCTCTGACATAGGAGTCCTTCAGACCTCCAAGATCTGGAGTTGAGGAGCAGCAGTATATTGTGGAAGCAAGGGTGGTCTGGTGGTCTGGTTGATGGTGACTCATAAGCCTCAAAATGATTAAGGGCCTAGGAAATGAGACTTATGAGAAAAGGCTGAAAAGACTAGGCTTATTTAGCCTGGAGAGGAGAGAAGTGATGTGGGATTTGGTAATAGTCTTAAATACCTGAAGAGTGATTTGTAGACGGGTTGGAGATAGGTTTTTCTCTGTGGCTGCAGGAGACAGGGCTAGGAACAATGACCTCAAGCTGCATCAGAGGAAATTTAGACTAGAAATTAAGAGGAAGTTTCCGACTATGAGGGTGGTTAGGCATTGGAACAGGCTTCTTAGAGAAGCTGTTGATTCTCCATGTTTGGAAACTTTCAAAAGCAGGTTAGACAGATGCTTGACTGGGTTGATGTAGTCAGCCTGATCCTGCCTTGAGCAGGGGGCTGGATTAGATGACCTCATGAGGTCCATTCCAGCCCTACTTTCCTATGTTCTACCAGCACCTTTGGGCCCAGGAGGACAAAACAGGCTGTTATCCCTTCTCAGAAGACTTGCTTCTGTGGTTTCATGCTATTTTTTTCAAAAGGCATAGCTGTGTCAGGTTGAAACTGAAAGAGTTACTGTCCTTATGCCCGTTGTTGCTTCCAGCTCTTGAATTTAGCATGCTTGTCTGCTTGACTGTGGAATATCCAATCTTTCAGTAATCTCCCCTGCCCCCTTCTCTCCTTGTTTTGAAAAGGACTAAATTCTGTGTGGTCTAGAGTCTCTTGCCAATTAGGGTCTTTGGTCCATTCTGTATTTAATCTGAAGCTGCTTTGGAGGGGTTCTTGGAAGAAATGTCTATAGTGGGCAGTCCAGATCAATTCTATGAAAATAATGGAAATGCACTGAAAATCAGTCTTGCCTCTTGGGTTTTTCTATTCCTGTGATATTATATATAATAATAGTATTAATTGTGTGTGTGTATTACTAAAAATACAATATTTCATACAGGAGCACTTATAAGTCCCAAATACTGGAGGTGTGTGAAATGGGCCATATTCAATTCAGATTCGGCCCGAATCGAGGACAGTGATTTGATTTATTGATTTGGATCACTGTCCCCAATTCAATTCAGCCGAATTCAAATCTGAAGATTCAATGCTGATTCAGAGAATCAGCAATTTGGCCATAGACACAGCTTTAAATGTTTTTTCTACATACTTCGAAGTACCAGGCACAGTTTATGAATACTATGATGGGGCGGATGGAGAGTCCCACAGGAGTGTGCGGGGGGTGGGCCCATGGTGACCCAGAAGTGAACTGGAAGTACTTCCAGTCCACTTTTGGGTCCACCGGGGAATGTGCTGGGGGGGTCCCCCTGGCTCAGTGATTGTCTGTGGGGGAACCCCGGGTGTCCCCCTGACCCAGGAGGCACCAGTCACCAAGCTGGGGGGGCATGGGGGGCCCCCCCAGCATGCGCCTTGGTGGACCTGGAAGTGGACCAGAATTGGGATGCTCCATCTGCCCTGGCATTACAGCATTCATGAGCTGCCTGGTACCTTGAAGTATGTAGAAAAAAGATTTAAAGCTGTGTCTATGTCTGAACCG